TGGAAAGGGGACTGGCGGCACTTAGGCCAAACTTCAATTTCCTCATGCTTCACTGTACGTTTGTCTACGGCTGGGCTGACGGCCTCGTGGGTTAACGGATTGGACAGATGTATATATTCTCACTTGGACCATGGTCGGCTCTCTCATGCTCTATGGCGACAGGAGCTCCAACATACCCTACATTGACTGTCTCTTCTTTGCCAGTGGAGCGGCCACCCAGAGCGGGCTAAACACAATCGACGTGAACAAACTGTCGCGATACCAGCAAATCTTACTCTACATCAGCGCCTGCTTCTGCACGCCCATCTTCATCCATGGCTCCGTCGTCTTTGTCCGCCTGTTCTGGTTCGAGAAGCGGTTTATGAATCTGGCAAAAGAGGCACGCAGCCGGAGCGGCCTGCGCACCCGCACAATTTCGAGGAGAAAGAGCGAGATGGCGGCGGACAATGAGCGGGACATGTCGCAGGAAGAGCGGGGCGTGGGCAATCGGGAGATTCGCGTCATGCGCGCCTCCGACGGCCAGGCAGACGGTGGGCCCATCGAGGACGAGCACGCCTTCCGCACGGGCAAAGAGGGTGCTGGAATTCGCAGGTCCTCGCACTCGTCCGACGGCGAGGCCTCGCCTTTTGAGGTCCCGACCACGCCTGTGCAGGAAACGCCGTCGGGCATCGTCTGGGCGGACCATCTCAGCACACCCAAGGACCAGGAGGAGAAGCGTCTGAGCGAGTCGGTCGGCCCCAAGGAGCGATTTCCAGAGGCGGACAAGGAGAAGAGCATTGCGTTTGTCGAAGCCCAGCGCAACCGCACGGAAAAGGCCAAACTTCGCATCCCAGGCCCGCGTGATTTTGACCGCGGACTGGTTCCCGAGCAGATTGAAGACCAGCACTTGGACCGGACCATGAGCAGGGTTTCTCAGGACTCACATGCCCGGCTCGAACGGGGCCACCTCATGCCCCCGGCTGCCTACGCAGACGGCCGTCCGCTGGAAGAATCACATCACCATTGATGCGCCCCCGCGAGCCGGCCCTACCACGGGCGCTTCTGTGTACACTCGAGCCCGGACGCAGGAAATTGGCGAGTCGTCAGGCCCCACGCCATCCATGCACATTCGCAATCGATCGCGATCGAGGACGTTTGCTACGTTCCTCACGCGGACCAAAGAGGAGGATGAAGATCCCATGCCCTATCTCAGCTGGACACCGACGATTGGTCGCAACTCCAACTTTGTCGACTTGAACGAAGAGCAACGCGAGGAACTGGGGGGCATCGAGTACCGCTCGCTGAAGCTCTTGGCTGTCATTCTTTTGTTGTTTTATGGCGGATTCCATGTCCTCGGTGTTACCTGTCTTGCGCCCTGGATCAACCACACCCCGCGCTTCACCAAGGTCGTCACAGACGTTGGCGTCAATCCAACGTGGTGGGGTTTCTTCACGGCCGCCTCGCTGTTCAACGACCTCGGGCTCACGCTGACGCCCGACTCGATGATCTCGTTTCAGTTTGCTGTGCTGCCTCTGGTCCTCGGCACCTTTCTCATCATCATTGGCAACACTGGGTTCCCGTGTATGCTGCGCTTTGTCATTTGGACACTGTCCAAGCTGGTGCCAAAGGGGAGTGGGGTATGGGAGGAACTCCGCTTCCTGCTCGACCATCCCCGTCGGTGCTTCACCTTGCTCTTCCCCAGCAAAGCCAACTGGTGGCTGTTTGCCGTGCTCATTCTGCTCAACGGCATCGATCTGATCTTCTTCATTGTCCTCGATGTACGTGGTCGACTCTGCGTGAAATCCGACGTGACGCTAACGAGCACCAGCTCCACGACCCAACCGTCACCAGCATCCCCGGCGGCTACCGCTTCCTCGCCGGTCTCTTCCAGGCGGCGGCAACGCGCACCGCCGGCTTTGCGGTTGTCAACATTGCCGACCTGCACCCGGCCGTCCAGGTCTCGTACCTGATCATGATGTACATCTCCATCTTCCCCATTGCCATGTCGATGCGGCAGACGAACGTGTACGAGGAACGATCGCTGGGCGTGTGGGCGGGCGACGAGGACGAGGACGCCAAATCCTCGTACCTGTCGCACCACCTGCGCCGCCAACTCTCCTTTGACCTCTGGTTCGTCTTCCTCGGCTTCTTCCTCATCGCCATTGTCGAGGGCTCCCGGCTAGAAAACACAAACGAGTACGCCTTCTCGCTCTTCTCCGTCCTCTTTGAAATCGTATCCGCCTACGGCACCGTCGGCCTCAGCCTCGGCTTCCCCGGCACAAACGCCTCCTTTTCCGCCCAGTTTCGCACCCTCTCCAAACTCATCATCATCGCCATGCAGATTCGCGGTCGCCATCGCGGTCTCCCCTACGCCCTTGATCGCGCCATCCTCTTGCCGTCGGAGAGCTTGCACGCAAAGGAAAATGAAGATGCAACTCGTCGGGCCCGTCGGCTGAGTACCATGGATTTTGGCGCCCCGCTTGATCCAGCGCTGAGTCGCCAGGGGACCGGGTTGAGTCGAAGGAGTAGTGTCGAGGGTGAGGGGAGGTCGGAGCGGTTTGCGCCGAGGCGGTTGAGGCGGATCTTGAGTGGCGCGTTTACGGCTGGGCCGGCGATTAGGGAGAAGATGAGTTAGGGGGTGGTGGATGGATTGGGGCTGGGTGGGAAGGGAGGAGGTGGTGCTGGATAGGTGTACACGATTTGTATATAACTCGACCTCAACCGCCCCCGCCTAGATGGGAATAGGAATTCAATGGCTTTCTCGGTTTGAGCTTGGCGGTGTTTGCTGTTGGGTGTTTGGTGCTTGGTGCTTGGTGCTTGGTGTTTGGTGCTTGGTGCTTGGTGCTTGGTGCTCGGTGATTGCTGTTGGGTGCTTGGTGCTTGGTGACTACTGTAGAGCGGAGCGGAGTGGAGTGTTTTATCCTAATGTCGGTGTCGGTGTCGCTGTCGCTGTCGCTGTCAATGTTGGTGTTGGTGTTGGTGTTGGATGGGTTATTGGGTTATTGGGTTATTGGGTTATTGGGTTATTGGGTTATTGGGTTATTGGGTTATTGGGTTATTGGGTTATTGGGCTATCCCGGTGTCGCTGTCAATGTTGGTGTTTGTGTTGGATGGGGGGTGGTGCTGCTGTCTGTTGGTGATGTCGTTGGATTATCTGGTTCTTTCCTCTTTCCTCTTTCCTCTTTCCTCTTTTTTTCCACCTTTTTTTCCACCTTTTCTTCCACCTTTTCTTCCACCTTTTTTTCCACCTTTTTCCTTTAGGTTTTTAGGTTTTTAGGGGGTTTTTTTTGGGAAAATTTATCTCGGTTGTTGGAGCTTGGATGTCTGTTCTTGGATGTTTGTTCTTGGTTGTCTGCTTGGGTTTTCACTCTGCGGTCGCTGTTCTCTGTCGTTTGTTCTCGGTTGTTTGTTTTCTGGTCCTCTGGTTCTCTTTTTTTTTTTTTGCAATCTATGTTCTTTATGCTTGGTTTTG